CCATCACACATTGCTGATACCCCACAAAGGTAAATATTTACTGCAGGGGAAAAGGATTCAGTCAATCAAAATTTGCCTCATAATCATTCCATACCATTCAATGAAATATCGCTGTCTGTGATTTAAACATTAGTCAATTGATATTGTATCAATCGGTCTTAAGATTTCTATGATTTGGTTAAATAGCTTTATTTTATTGCAGGATAAGTTGTCGTAGATACATATCATACATTGCAGAGTTACACTATAAAGAATTACGTAATGAGAGTTATTTGTAAGCTATTGAAAAATTGTTAAGAATGTTCACAGAAATAGATAGGACCAGGAGAAATCAGGTAGAGGCTTGTGTGAGAACTAAAGCTTGATTTAAATTTAAGTGAAATGTCTATGGAATAGATCTTTGGAAGGTATGGGGAAGGCTTTTAGTAGTTGTATATACATTGTAAAGAATATGTTGCTTGCACATTGCAAAATGTATTGCAGATGTTAAACCATCCCATCATTTGGGCTTCAGTAAAAATTGATCAAAGATGACGCAATTGATGTTATCTAATGGTTAATAGAAGCCATGTTTATTTTAGACCCAAACAATCTGGCATTTGTGAATTTCACAAGTTGAAAATTTCAAAATGCTTGTTCTTAGTAATTTTCAAAAAATTGTATTTATATAATACTCATTAGACTGTGAGGATGATATGTTTAGAGGAAGATAATTTACAGGTTTTCAACAATTGCTATATGATAGGCAGGTGCAGGGAGGGGAGACAGATTTTAAGGCTTTCAGGGGCCAGGGTTAACAGCTTCCCTCAAGTTGGTGGATGATTTTTTTAACTTGATTTTCCTTCATAGAGAAATGAGAAGCTTTATGGAATAGCTGTAGATCATTACAGATGTAATTGATCATAGAGTTTTCACAAAAACATAGCACCACCTGCCTTCATTGAGATTATGAAGTACGTATACTAGTTCCACTGCAAGATGAAATTACCCAATTTATTAAATATTAATTATTTTTATGCTAGGACTGTGCATGATTTGAAGAGTTCAAATAAAGTTGTGTTCACATAATTCTGCCAATCAATTATTCCCTACTGACCAAACATTCATTATTTCTGTTTGTATAATTCTGCCAGAGATCTGTCGATATATTAAACATTTGTACAGTAAATAATATCACCTGTTGCAATTTTATATAGGTTATTTAATGTAGGCTATTCTTTGTCAGCAAATTTACTAATTGATTTCTTTTAAATAAATTTCAGTAATCAACAATGTATCAATATCAACCAAACATTGTAAAATATGGTACATAGAATTACATGTATGCACATTTGGTAAGGCCATTCCAAGTTTTTTCTCCGTTTAGAACCACTCATCTTTCGTAAACCTACCTACATATTGAATGCTTAAAATATACTTAATATGACATATTGTTGACAAATGTTTAAAGAAATTGACAAAATTCAAAGATTTTGACCAGAGTAATCAATTTCAGGACTCTTGATTTTGTTTGTTTTTCTGATATGGGAGGTCCAAAACCAAGGCGAACTCTTTAACATAGAAAAAACTTGGAATGGCCTAGAAAAAACTTGGAATGGCCTAATACTGAAATATTATGCTCCAGTTTCTGTGTTCCATTTATAATTTCTTACAAAAGTCAATTTTTTTTCTTGATTTTAAGCAAATTATAAATTTAAACAAATTTACAAATACACAATTAAAAAAATCTAGAGCAGGATTATGGATTCAGGTAGTAAACTTTAACAAACAGGAGCTTATAGGTAGACCTGGTCTCTTTCAAATGAATATTTAAAGGGCAATTCACTCATAAGGTAGAATTAGATATAATATTTAGTGTTTTTTTTTAAATTATAACAAGATTTTTAATGTTCATCGAACCATGTCAATGTACTTGTATTTTCCTCAGATGACAGAGGTAACTTCCATGTCAGAGAGAGGATATAGATAAAGACAATTTTATTAAATTATAATGTGTGGTGAGAAATGAACATGATGCAAATTATGATTACTTGAAGTTTTCGGGTTTCATAATATTAATTTGTATCCATGGTTGCTTTGATTCATCTTTGTCATTTTTGGGGAAAAGTGATTTGCAAAGCTTAATGGAAGTTAAGGCAGGCTCAGCAACGTTACATAACTGTTAATTAATATTGTTGATAAATCATTTGATTGTGATTTATGATATTCAATTAACTAAGGTAAAAATTGTTTTATCGTAACAGACTCTGATCATTAAGATTGAAATTATGACAAATTAGCCTCATCCTTTTTCCCTGAACAAATATCTGATGATTTATGGAAAATCAGTTTGTCAAACACTGGCCTGGAAAGGCATGTTCATCAGAAAGTTTCTCCTATGATGTCATAATTTGGTAATTTGCTGTGTTTAAAATTGCAGAGTGGATACAGTTTCTAAATATTGTGAGACTGTTGTGGTCTTTTGGTTATGTGTGGTTTGCAGACTGATTGCATCTTTTGCTTTGCCTTAAAAATGCATTTAAAGTCAAAACCCTAAAAATTGGGCAGGTTTTTAGCTCATCTGAACTGAAGGGTTGAGTGAGCTTTTATGATCAAAAAGTGTCTGTTGTCTGTCTGTCTGTTGTGTGTCATCATTTATATTTTCGTCTTCTTCCCAAGAACCATTTGGCCAATTTCAACCAAACTTGCCACAATTTAAAGCATATCCTGGAGTTTTTCACATGAAGGGCTATGCCCTCTTTCAAGGAAAGATTATTAAATTTGATGGCATCTTTTAAAAATTTTCTCAAGAACCACTGGGCCAGAAAGGATGAAACTTGAGTGAAAGCTTTATTATGTAGTGTATATGTAGCTTCAAATTTGTTGAAATCATTATCCATGGGGGTAGGGTGGGGCCACAACAGGGCAACAAAATTTTACTTAGAAATATATAGTGAATGTCTTTAATGATCGTCTTCTCGAGAAAAGCAAAGCCATGATTAGTTATTTTAATACAGAAGCATACTTATAGGTAGCAAAGATTCAAATTTGTTCCAATCAAGACCCCGGGGTTAGTTTGGGGCCACAACAGGGCATCAAAATTTTATATAGGAATATGAAGGAAATATCTTTAAAAATCCTCTTCTAAAGAACAGCAAAGCTATGATTAGTCATATTAATTCAGAAGCAATCTCAGGTAGTGTTGATTCAGGTTTGTTTAAATCTTGACCCCCAGGGCTAGGATGGGGCCACAACAGGGTATCAAAGTTTTATGCAGAAATATATAGGAAATACCTTTAAAAATCGTCAGGAAAGCCATGATTTGTCATATTAATACAGAAGCAATGTCAGGGAGTAAAGATTCAAGTTTGTTCAAATCATGATCCCTGGAGGTAGCTTAGGGCTACAACAGGAGATCAAAGTTTTACATAGGAATATATAGGAAATTTAAAAAAAAATCTTTTTCTTATGAACAGCAAAACTATGATTAGTCATATTAATATAGAAGCATCCTGATGTAGTGTAGATTCAAGTTTGTTCAAATCATGACCCCCTGGGGTAGGGCGGGCAACAATAGAAGATCAAACTTTTACAATAGAATATAAAGGAAAAATACCTAGCAAATATTCTTCTCAAGAACAGCATAGCAATGATGACAAGCATCTTGATGTAGTTTAAATTCAGATTTGTTCAAATCATCACCCCCAGGGATAGGATGGGACCACTTTTATATTTAAACTTTTTTCTGCATTTTTCTAGCAGAAGCCAAAGTGCTGAGGTGAGCAATGTGGCCATGGGCCTTTGATACGTAGGAGTGTTAGTAAATTTACACAGAGTTTGGGATACGTGTGACCAATTATGCTTTTGATGCTGCAGGTGACCTACATCTTTCCATCCAAAACGACACTCTGCATGCACTGAAACAGATTTTTTTTTCTCTCTAAATTATAAAAGGCCTAGTATAATGATGAATTCTTAGAGTGCATCTTTGTATGAAATCAAACTTTAAGCCTTGTGGTACTGTGCCTCCCTCATTGACAGGACTGTCAGGTGAGCTATAGGATTTTTGATTTCACTGTGTTCTCTGGAGTTTATCAAATGCAAGGTTCAAAGTGTAAAAAGATTTGGCACATTTTTTACCAGATGAAATTTTGTAGAGGAGTACATATTGCCTCAGATACTATATAAAATATGACAGGGCAGTAGCTGAATAAATCTGCTGTATGTCAAATTCAATTTGTTTGATTAACTATGATGTAGTGATTATAGAAACGTAAAAGATATATTTTATCATAGAGGGGTAAGTTTTTTTGCTGCATTGAGGAAGCTTCAGTGAGGAGCCTTATCTCTTAATGTGTGGGGTGGATAGTGAGATTTGGGATCCCACCTTTGATTGCAGACTTTAATGTGGCCATTTCTTTGCTTCAGTATGCACTGTTATTGATTTGATGCAGAAAAAAACCTTAAGAGTCAAGCAGATGTAAACCAATTCAAACAGCTGTTGTTAGGAAACATAACGTCTGGCACAACTCTCTAGTTCTGACCGTTATTGTCTGGCTTGTATATAAATGTCTCTTGGAAGAAAAGCGCACACTACAACCAGACATATTAATTACTGTTAATTTGTTGATTGTGACATCTTAGAAATGCCCTTGGGTTTGGCATACCATATTAACTTTTGGTTCAGATTCTTGGAGAATTTTCTGGATCTTTTCTTCAGAATTCTCATTGGAGGTTTTTTTTTTGCATGATCTCAGCCAATTTGCCCTTCCAAGGAATTACTTGTCAGTGTTCCTAGGGATTGCTACACAGGTTGCCAAGAATGATGGTCATTGATCCATCATATCTTACATCGAAGTTTTATCAACTTATTAGCTGATTTTTACATGAAAAATCAATTTGTCTTAATACCTTGTTATTTCCTCCACAAAGTATTCATTCATAGAGGAAACTAATTTTAAGAGTTTATCCATCTGTCCACAGAATTAATGACCAAACTAATAGAAATGACTTTTTTGTAGATTTGAGGCATGGAGACCAGACTGACTAAGGAATAGCCCAATGAGGCCCAATATTCAATGGACTCTAATCTACATCTGTTATAGGAAGTCACCTTGGGTTTCTGACAGGTAGATATTTATAAGCATGTTGCATGTTCATTGCTTATAATCTAATATATATCTAATACTGTTCACAAGTCATTGACTCTTCAAACTGAGGTGGAGGCTGAGCTGGTGTGATTTATGCACATAGTGTAATTTGGATCTATCTTTTTTCATGCTGTTTGAAGCAATTTGGGTTTTGCTCTGAATTTTCTGAGATTCTTTAACTACCATGTAGTTTAATCAAATTGGAAAAAAGTAAAAATGGAGAAAAATATGAACAATTTTCTGCACTTTTTATGTGTTATTGGTATGTTTTTTTATCTTGATATACAGTTTTGATAGGACTCTATACTGTTCTTTGACAAGTACATCTATCCTTATCTGCTGATCTCACAGCTTTTATGCTACATCCATTGTTTGATTCTCATGAAGCCAGGGAGAGCATAGAATTAGACATAGTTGACATTGATATACCAGTTATCCTAAATCCCCATTATAATTACTCAGAGAAGTAAGGCTAAAGAGCAGAATGCAATCCAATTCATAAGTGATATACATGATGTATTTTCTTGTGTCTGGCAAAGGTTTGTTTTGTAGGAAGGCATTTGCTCCATTCTGGAAAGAGTATCATTCTGAGCATCTCATCACAATTTTTTCCAATTAACTAATTTTCCTCTTAAGAGCTCTGGAAACACATTTCAGCAGTTTTTGCTTGTGTGCAGTTGGTGCTCAGTGTAGGAGGTCGAGAACGATTAGTGGTTTCTCCTGAATTGATTGAGGGGGAAACTATTGGTTTCAGAAGTGGCCTACAGGTTGAACTTTGCACTGCTTCACCCTGATGGCAATGCTTTTTTTTTTCATTCTTTCTAAAACTTTGAAATAATGAGCTCTGAAAAAGATTCAGAAAGCATAATTATGTTTTTTGCTCAGAAGTGGCTATTTTAAAGTTTTTTCTTGTATGATGACATTTTAAGGGTTGTTTATGACCTTGAACAGTTTAAATCTGATTGAAGCTATTTTTGTATATTTATAGACAAAATATATATAGAAGTTTGCTAGTAAGACAATTACAGTTCTAAGCAATACGCTGTCATCTTCTTTTCTTATAAGATTGAGATTTAACCATGAACAGAGGCTAATAAATTTATTTTATGTACCGGAGTGGTCTCCCAGACAAAATACATATTACATAAGATGTTCTCCGATTGTCATTACAATAATCGGTTTTATTTCTTACAAGTGCAGCGTGCAGTTACTATCTGTCTCTGTATACACATAGGAGGCTGTTTATGATAATGATGCAATGCATTGTTCCTGCCTCTATGAGTAATTATCCAGCTATGTGCAGATCTTCCTTTTTATTGTATTTGTTCATCACTCAGAGCATGGCTGACATGTTGCAGTGTTAGCCATATAAGGGGAAATTTGTCTTTTTCTGCCTCTCAGTAAGTTAAAATTTGATTTTTGTGAACTAAGTTAAGTGTGTTTAGATAATTCATACATTTCTTGGATGTGTGATTGATTGAGGGATCTGATCAGAGGAATCCGATTCTACTTACAGCTGCTAAGTCCTGCATTAATTAATACAATAATTCATAAACTATTACCACTAAATTATAGATTACCAGTGTGTTTTCACGCTGTTTGCTCAATTTATCATTTTTTATCAGTTTTGTTATTTGAGTGTATATGGATTTTAAAATCTAAAACCTCAGCCCACCTTAATTTGCACATTGTATATTATTTCACATGGACACCTCTGATACATTGTACATGTATAATTAGAATATGAATTAAATTTTTTCCTGTATAAAATAATGAGGATGGAAAGTGCTTTTACATTGTTGAACCCCTGCAGTGATGTATAAAGTTCATTTGCCCTGTTTGTCAACAGTTCGTCATATGACATATATCTGTCAATGCAGTGTTCTATCAGTATTCCTACATACATAGATAAATATAGGTACAAACAGGTGGTAATTTGAGGTGAATGACCAAGACTTTGACATCTTGGCACCTGTTAGCTGCTTGATGCAGCATAGTTTTGTACCTGCAGGGTATCAGTAGTGGACCTGGGTTCATTCCATGCTTATCTGGATCAGAGAAGGTCTTATCTGAAGGTGTTGGTTTCAGAGAAGGTCAGATACAGATTGTAAACAAGGTGGATGGTGTTAAATCAAAGCTGTTGTGAAATCTCCAGTCTTATATTGGCCTTCTTTGTCTGTGGCTAATTGTTGAAGTGTGTACAGAAAAGATCGTGTGTTTGTTGAGAGGGGACTGTAGGGCCATTTAACACCAAAATGATGATATCTATAGCAGAAATGGCACGGGAATTTATAATTAGGGGTATACAGGTATACAATAGAGGATGATATAATCCCAGTCTATTGCCATCCAGAATGATTGATAAAGTGTCCTAATACTGAAATTTTGTGGTGAACGGATTATAAATTCTGAATTCAGCTGTTTACATTGTTGACATTTGAGGGGGTCGGACTAACTCCCAATAAATAACACTGATTGGTGTAGGAGTATTGATTGTGCCAGGAGTTACCGGACAGAGAAGAAGTGAGATGGCTAGCAGTTACTGTAGGAACACATGATATTACGGACATGGGTGATATCTGAAGGAACACTTAATGTTACAGACATGGGTGATAACATTTTTGTGTGGGCATTTTGTGGAGTTTAGTCTTTTGTTGTAAGTTGCCTTTTGGTATTTGTTGTTAAACAGCATACTCTTGTCGTAATGAAAATTCACTTGAATTAGCTTCATTTTATTGAAGTTACTTGAACAACAGGAAGAACAGATGTTCATACAGCCTTGAAAAGTAAAAAAATTCTATCTACAAGATTTTACAAATCTTCCCTAACCATTTACTACTGATTTAGCATCAGAGGGAAAGTGCATTTAAGCTTTATGTGAGGCATGTACACTAATTGTTTTTTTTTTTTTTTTTTTAAATTTTAAGAGTATTCTTGTAGAGTGTTAGTAATTGCCAACATATATAAACCAGTACATGTCAAAATTTGTTTCCCTAAACAAGCTGAGACTTCCTGATATGTATATAAAAGTTTAAAATGTTCTGCTTTGTTTAAATTTCTCAGAATTGGTATAATCTATAAGTTGACATTAATAAAAAGTCACAGTTTAACAGGTTAGAATAACTTGTATTATTCTCATTAAATCTAGCTGCTTAGCATAGCAGTGACCACTTTGGATATTTTTTTAAAGATATAAAAGATAAGTGAATATAATTTTGCCAAATCCTACTGAAGAATGAAGAAATGTGGGTTTAATAAAAATATTTTAAAATCTAGGAAACCTCACCATTTCTTTTTGCATTTGCACTGAGTACAAAGAAGTATTTCCTATTTAGATTGTGGTATTTCAGTTGTACGGAGAGAACTATATCAGATATTGTGGATGATCTCCTGCTGTTATTAACTTTATGACAAGTACATGTAAATGAGAAATGATGTAAGGGTGATTAACTTTTGTACAGTAGAGCAGTGGCCAGTAATTAAGGTCTTCATTATCAGTCCTGTTAGCCTGCAACAGATGGTGGCAGGTGATAAGCCTGGACAGCTGATCTCCTGTTGGCAATCACGTTCACTAACCCTGCAGTCTACTCAAAGTAAACTCTGAATTTTCTTGGCATCAGCTTAAGCTTTAATATGATTACATTTAATAAGCAAGATGCAGTTTCCAGTTGGAATATTGCTTACTGGGTTAGTTTAGGTTAACAGATAGTTATTGTATTTGTAAAACAGGAATTCAGTCAAGTAATGTGCTTGTTTGAATGGCAGTTTTCATGCCTTTGAGTTGGAGGTGAAAGTCAATATCTTGTAGCATGTGAAGGGGTCAGCGGGAACTTGAGGATTTCTGGTAGAGGATATTGATTAGTGGCAATTAATGGAATGATGTGATAGTAGTTAATTATTGACAGAACATTTACAGTAGGTTTGTGTATTGGTCTCACATTATAGGTTTGGTCCCATCAATAATGCAGGGGATGGTAGCGTTACAAATGTGTATTGCATTATTCTGTGTTCTGGCACCTAGAAGAAGGCTAACAGAAAACTTTGGCTCAGTAGTCATGTATAATTCGGCTATAGACCCCATTCTGGTAGGTCTATTGAGGATAACCTCAGGGTGAGATCAATACTGACTAGAAGTATTGATGTTATAATCCAGAAATTGTCATATAGTAGGCAGATTGCATGTCTGTTAATTTGTTAAATGGTAAGTCCTTCTATAACTGTGTTGTAGAAACATTAAAAAAAAAACCTCTCACCAGAGACATAGATATTTTTCAATCTAAATATGTATGTATTTTGTGTCATCATAGTGTGGTACACATTAAGTCAAACTTCCTTGATGGTTACCAGAATGTTGCAATTTAAATATTTAAAATTTAAAAAAAAATAAAGATATGCCCTAGCTCAAGTAAAAAAAAAAAATCATTGATGATTGATAAAATCTGTTGAAATGCACATTCTTATCCTGAAAAAAAAAACTTGTAAATTGAGATGAGTTATCCTTCCTGAATGTTTTAAGTCTGTACAACTGCATTCCTCAGACAGGTAAAACACACTGAATACCTGGAGGTGTGGCAATGTTTCTCACCTGTGATCATTACAGGTAAGAAGATCCCATTGAAACAGAGTGATAAAGTATCAGAAATTGATCTCCTCAGTTAACCTATTCAGTCATCTGTGACTAACTGTAGCATTTGGATCAGTGACCTGATTACTGAGGCGTAAACTGTAAATAAATAAATGTCTGCACTGTGTGTCATTAGGCAGCGATAATGTACTGTTAGAGTGGAGTAGTTCATGTATACAACTCACTGTTACATAACTACTATGCTGATGTGAGAGGTTTCTTATGTTAGATGACTTGGTCAGGACAAATATAGTAGGATAACTGGTATTTATGTGTGGTTATGTGGGGTATCCTAATTATATTACATGATGTCAGGTTGGTTTCTTTTCCCATTGTTTATCATGCATATGTATACAAGGAAGTAAACTTAATGAATAAAAAAACATACAGATATTGAATATTTCATTGATAATGATCGATAGAAAGTAATATTTCATATCCTTAAATCTTTACAGATATGATGTCACAAACTCTGGTGGAGACAGTGTCCATAAATTATGAAGATTTTAACGACAGCTTCCTGACTTGTGGCACATGTCTTTGTATCTATGACGCAGTGGAACATTCACCCAAACTTCTGCCATGTTCCCATACCGTTTGTAAGAATTGCCTAGAGAGGATCGTTGAAGCACAAGTCCATGACACTGGCTATTTCCGATGTCCAATCTGTCGAGAACACATTGGCATTCCTCGAGGCGGTGTTGTAGCATTTCCTCCTAGTTACATTGTGAATCAGCTGTTAGATTTGATGCAGCAACAGCGTCGTGACGTCATACCCAAGTGCTCAACACATTCCAACCAGGAGCTGCTCTTCTGTGAGACCTGTGATTCCGTATTTTGTACCCAGTGTAGTGGGGGTCAGCATAACGGGGCAGGGGCTAGTCAACACACTGTGATTCCATTCTCCATTGCCATTAAAAGGATGTCGGAAATACTGCTGTATAAGGCGCATCTGTGTATCAAAAATCTTAACCATGCATATGACAATGTTTCTGCTGAAATGCAACTTTTAGAAAACTCTGTAGAAAAAACTGTAGAATCTATAAACAGATCATTCCAAGATATTATAGCCATGGTGGACAAACGAAGGCATGACTGCCTACAGTGGGTGCGCAAAATACGAGAAGACAAGCGCAAGATTTTGCGTGAACAGCTGGATTTGATCCAGGCTGAAAAAGACAGGGTACAGAGTGATTGTGATGGACTTCAGTTCCAAGTAGAGGTCCGAAACATTACAAAGAAAATTGGGGATCTCAATGAGAAGCTTGATGCAACAAATACTTTATCAGAACCACGAGAAAATTCTTTCATGAAATATGAGTTCAAGCACAATAGTTCAATGAGGGAAATTAGCAAGGCTTTGAATGAGTTTGGTAAAATTAACACTAGCACAACCTTCCCTGCTTTATGTTCAGCAAAAACAGGAGAGGCTATTACTCACCTCAAGTCCTCCATGATTATCAACACAGTGGATTACCATGGTAACCCCAGAACAAGTGGTTCTGACCCAGTTTGTACAGAAGTGCGTACAGAAAAGGGAGAACTTGTGGAATCAAAAGTTCGGGATAGAGATGATGGTTCATATGAAGTGCAGTATGTTCCACCAAGGCCAGGAAAGGTGAAAATTTTTGTCAGTATTTTTAACCGACCAATCAAAGGAAGTCCATATGCGGTTGATGTATCGGATCACATAAATCCAGTATGGAAGTTAGGATCTCGGGGAAAGGGTGAGGAGAATTTTGTTCAGCCGGTGAGAGTAGTGATGGACAGTGAAGAGACTCTGTTTGTTTCTGATACGGGTAACAGTAGAATCAAAGTCATTAGCAGTTCTGGTGAGGTCATCAGACATATTGGCCCTGTGGGCCTCGAGAATCAGGGAGGAACTGGTCTGGCCTTGACCCCAGAAGGCAATATAGCAGTTGTCAACTGGAGGACCAGGACTGTCTCCATAGTGACCAAAGAGGGCGAGCTAGTCAACAAATTCACTTGCTCCGATTTTCAGGAGCCAACTGAAATTGCCGTCAACAGTAGAGGGGAAATCATAGTAGCAGATCATGGTGCCAACAAAATGTTCATGTTTGATGCCAATGGTAAGCCCCTTACTACGTTTGGAGGGAAAGGAGAAAAAGATGGACAATTTAAGCTTATTTGTGCCATAGCTGTAGGCAAATGTGATGAAATACTAGTCGCTGACCACAGAATACAAATTTTTAGCAGAGATGGCAAATTTTCTCGCTCAATTCCAGACCAAAAGAAAGGGCAATACAGTGGCCTAGTGGTGGATGCTGGCGGTCACATTTTGGCCACAAAAATTGAAAAGGGAAAGAGTTTTGTGCAAGTCATGAACTCGAGTGGAAAGGTGATGTTCTGTATAGACAGCAACAGTGATCGATTGAAGCGCCCAAGTGGCCTGGCAACGTCACCAGATCACCATGTGTATGTCGTTGATCTTGGCAATGACTGTCTAAAGAAATATCGTTACAGATAGACAACCTCTTCTACAAGGTAATAAAAGCATGGTAATTGGAATAACTACTTGTGGAAAGTAGAAAGCAATTAATGCCGATATTTAATTAATTATCTTAGGTTGTTTTGAAAATTGAAGATTGCAAGAGAAAAGGAGACATTTTCATTTCATACATTTTAACAGTCTTTAATGAGAAAAATTTTGACTTCATTTGTAGTTAAAACTCTTTTAAGCAGTATTTTAGACTTATAGTTGTGTTTACCTGGTATATTCATCATTT